CACAATTTTTCAGTCATCTAATTTCTCTTTTCTAAGAAACTCTGAAACAGGGTTTGATTTACAGAAAAATTGAGAAAGTAGTACAGAGACTTCTCATATACCCTAAACTCAGTTTCTGTATCATTTTTATCTACGTTAGTTGGCAAATTTGGCGCAATTAATGAAGTCACTATTGGTACAGTACTATTAACTAAAGTTCGCATTTTATTCAGATTTGCTTAGTTTTTACCTAATGTACTTTTTCTGTTTCAGGATTCCACCTGATACTATAATATATCTAGTAATCGCATTGCCTTAGGCTCTTCTTTGTTGTAGCAATTTCTCAGACTTTCCTGTCTTTGATGACCTTGACCGCATTGACGAGCATTGTCCAGGTATTTCATAGAATGTCTCTCTTCATAGAATGGGATTTGTCTGATGTTTTTCTCTTGATTAGGCTTGAGTTATAGGTAACTTCTTTTTCAGTAATGGATTCTTTCTAAGTGTTCTGTATACTATCCACAGGTTTGGGATTATTTCCTACACATGTTATTATTATTAATTTCTAACTTAATTTCATGTATAAAGAAAGAATGCTATTAATTTTTTTATGTTTGAGACTTAAACTCTGGTTCCTCATGGTGCCATTTTTAAGGCACCATTGTTTTTTTAGATCTTGATGAATATACCATGAGCAAGCAGTATTCTGCAGTTACTGAGTTTTTTGTGGCATATTTATCAGTTGGGGCCACATTAATGCGGTTCACCTAATCTCTGTCTTTTCTGTTTTATTTGTCCAGTTGTTCTATCAGTTGTTGAATAAAAGGATAATAAAATCTCCAACTATAATTGTAGGATTGTCTGTTCTCCCTTGCTTTCTGTCAGTATTGAAGCATTGGAATTAAATACACATGTTTCTGTCCTCTGATGAACTGGCATCATTATCATTCTGGGATATCTCTAATTACATCTGGTAAATCACTTCACCTTAAAATATATTTTATCTAATATTAGTATAGCCACCCCTTGCCTTCTTATACTTATTGTTTGCATGATATAATTATTTGCATCTACTTTCTTTATTCATATCTGTGCCTTTGGATGCAAAGTGCATCTCTGTTAGAGTGGACAGTATATAGCTGGGCCTTACGGTTTTGTGCACTGTGATCATCCTGGCCTTTTAGTTTGAAGAACAGTTTGAATTTTTTACATGGCAGGACTGTATTCCACAACAAAGCACAGAATTATTTGTTTTTAACATCAAAAATCCATATTCTAGATTTTTTTCTGTCTTCAGGTAAAGATTCCATGTGGATAAAGAAAACAGGAGGGCAACACACAGAGGATGAAGTTTACATTTTGAGGTGCTGTCCAGCTCACTCAGAGTTTAGCAGCGTTTGTTCCCAGAGCCAGTAAGTTTGCAGCTGTTGTATAATTGCATAGAAACGTCCAGGGTTATTTGTATCTTCCCTGGACAACCTTGGACAAATTGCTTTACTTCTTGAACTATAATTTTTATTTTCCATAAAATTTCCAATTTCTTGGATTCTTGAGTTCTTAGCTTGAAAATTCCTTCACCAGTGAGATCTATCGCCAATGCATGATCAGAAGTTTGCCTCTGTTCCTTTTTCCTAATATTTTTTATCACGGCACTAATCACAACTTGTCATTTTTATTTATTGACATGTTAAACTTTTTCAATGTCTTACTCTTCCAATAGGCTGCAATATACTTGAGGACATGTCTAATGTATATTTTCATCTGTAAGCATGTAGTGTCTAGTCCAATACTCTGACAGTATAGTTATCATTTGTTGTGTATTTATAATGTGTCAGACGTTTCTCTAAGTATTTATATGTAATTTTCCCAGCAACCCTATGCACCACGTATAATTATTTTTATGCTTATTTTACAGGTGAGGAAAATAACATAAGATCCAAAATGTTCAGTAACTTGCCTCAAGATAAAAGCTAGAATAAGGTACAGAATTTGGCTATTTTCCTAACTAATTCTTAGAAATAGTCTATACTGATTTGTAAAAATGGGGTAGGTGCTCAGACAGTATTTTTAAATGAAGAAATGAAAGCTTAAAAGCTAACACTTTTGAGTTTTGTGCTAAATAATTTACACTAAGTCATCCAATTTAATTCCTTCGACAATGTCATGGCACAGAAGCCATTGTAACTCTACCTAATGAGGAAGTATTAAATGACTGGACCTAAGTCACACAACTAATTTGTTTAGAAGTTAGAACGTAAGTGCATATCTTCATCATTAATCTTCGTAATACAATTTTTGAGAGGATAAAATAAAGGAGGGTTGTGAAGTTTCTTTGTAAAGTGCCGAAGAGCTTCTGGTAGGGAATTCGAATAGAATAGTGTCATGGAGAGTCTGTAGTTGGGGGTAAATATCACCTCAACTCTTCACATCTCCAAATATCACACTGTTTGCTATGAGAGCTCGCAACTCGTCCCACTAAGAGTTAAGGTCTATTTAACCATCCCTCTAATCTGCGCTTGCTTTTATGACTTGTTTTGCCGATGGGAAAATAAACAATGTGACACAAATAAAGGCTTGAAAACTCCCTTATTTATTGGGACTTTTCTGCTTGCTGCTTTTGGGAATACTGCAACCCTGACCACGTGAATAAGCCTGGGCGAGGCTGTGGGATAATGGGCGACATGTGGCCTGTCACCCCACTGACACTGACCCAATCACCAGACTTGTGAGTAATTCCTTCCCAACCCCCTGGCCCCAGCTGAGCTGCTAGTTGAGCCCAGGGTACCACGGACCAGCCAACTCACAGCATTGTGAGGAATAATAAATTTTCTTGTTTAAGAAAAAATCTTTTGGAATAATCGTTACACAGCAAGAATTAACTGGCACAACTCTCACCATTGG